GCTCAATATTAGAGCATCATTCTCATCCTATAATTATTATGGTATAGTATAAAGTCAATTGATTAGATAATTTATTGAAGACTTTAAATAGTATGTCATATTACAAACCAAATTAATAGTCCAGCTCTCAGTTTGCAAGTCATAAAAACTACCCGAGCGCACATTTTGAATCTCAATTGAGCCATATTTGATCAGGGCAATCTGGTCACTGTCGCACAAACTTTTAAAATCACTTAGACTATTACTCATTCTCACAAAATTTTGTACTTCTTTGGCGTATAACTTATTGATCATTATTTCACACTCTTTGATGTCAGTTATCTCTCCCCTTATAGTCGTGTTAATTGGTTCACGGATTGAATTCATGGCAAACAGTACTTCTTGTACCCGATTGCCCTCTAATTCATTGAATTGGTTTTGATAGTCAGTCAATGGTCTCGATATGGGAACCAGTGATAGACTATTGATATTAGAATTGTTTAATAGATAAATGAATTTATTACAAATACTAATGTTTGAGTCGACAATTTTGTCGTACTTTTGGGATTTATTTTTACATTTTATCACTTCGTTCCCATCGTTAGTCAATGGTCTCAATATGGGAACCACTGACTCATGAGTTTCTTTGCATTGTTTCGATATATATTTAATTTTTGCCATTTGTTTGCAATTTATAGTATTATCAAAATCCTAAAGTAAATGGACAAGTATTATAAAAATGTTCACAACCTTATGAAATAAGATAATAATAATTACAGAATTCATGCCGACATCGAAGCACTTCTTAAGCCGACATTTCTGACAACACTTTCGCCAAATCGGTGTTATCTCACAGTTGTTGTCGAAATAACACTTAAGTTTCTAAACAATTGAAACAATATTTTAATTTGCACTGATTTTTACAGACAATTCTTTGCCTCGTATTTGTTGCCATTCCTGCGGAAGAATGCTTTACATGAGACACAAGTAATGGCCCCATAATTGTTGTCTGTTTTATAAATTTATTTATTTAATTGAAAGTTTTATAGAAATAATAAATTATGAATAATATTTACTTGATGCTATATCTCCACAAATAACACAAGTCTTATTAAACTTTCTATTATCAGGCATTTTTTTATGTCAATCAATTGCTGTACGTTTTAGGCACAAGTTATACCATCACTTTTATGTCATTTTGAATGCAATTTAAAAACTTATCATAATAAACGTGTAATAAGTTTAATTAAGCAATTATTTTAATCAGTTGCTATGACAACAAGCCATAAAGTATTTATTTTAGTTTAATTTAGTGATGAAATGATAGTTGATTTCAAACTAATATATCATATGCTTCAAAGACACGTCTTTTAAGTTAAAATAATTTATTATACATCTGTATGCACTGCCACCACCAAAAAGGGGCAGATACAGGTAAATTATCTTGATAACCATTACTACTCAACCAGGTGTCCATTGATTAGATAAAATATTGACATACTTTATTTTAAATATATGAATCGATTGATTTAATTGTGTTGGAGTTGTGTTAGTTTTTCAAACATTATATAAAATTATTCAACGAAAAAATATCTAAATCCATACCCCATCACCACAAATCACGCATTTGTATAAAACTTAAAGGTATTTCAATTTATAAGATAATAAGAATTATTCATTGAAATATACAAAAAAAAATATATTTAACACAATTTTAATTTTATTAAATTGATATCTACAATAATAGAAAATAATACATATATTCAAAAATAATCAACAAGTCATTTCTATGGAAATCATAAATATTTGCTTAAATATTACTTATATTACTTATATAAATAATATTAAATGAATTGACAAAATTATATCGAATAAAGAATGAATACAAGAATAAATAAATAAAAGAAATTAGGTGTTCAGTGAACTTTATATATTGCAGCCCTTTGAAATATGGGCACACCTACTAAGTACTTCTAGTATCTACGAAACCCTTAGGCGGCGTGCACAAAGTACGTACCCAAAATTTTGGTCAAAAATTGACCCCCCTCCCCCCTACACACCCATCGTACATAGGAATTTAACAAGGTGACATACGCTTTGGCATGACCCCCCTCCCCCTACCAGTGCGTATGTA